AGTTGATCTTTGTAATGGCGAAGAGTTGTGTTTTCTTCGCGGTACGGACTGGATTATTATATGTTATTTATACTGACTTCAGATCAAATCTCAAATGTTGTCTTCTCTCAAGAAGCTGATTAAACAGTAATTATTCGTTTATTCGTTAGACTGTATTCGAGATGTATAAAAGATATGGCGATTCAATATATTAACTAAAATCAACAGTAATTGGGCTAAAATAATTCATTTACTGATCTGCGGTCGGTGGTATAAGAAACCAAGAATCTCGTATCGCAAACAGACTTACGAGCCCGAAAAATCTGAAACATTTAAGTCGGCTTCTTGTCAGAGAGTCTTGCGTTTCGGTGGGTTACGATGCAGACCGCAGGGCCGCCTGCTACTTGTTGTGTGTGTCCGTAGGCGGGGACGCCCAGTTCCGCAGTTGGCATACTCAGCCCCTTGTTTGCTCCCACCATGTTTGGTAATAAGTGACCAACGCCCAGAACTTGAGGTTTCTCTCCTCATGAATCTGTCAACTTAACACAAGCGGTGACGTGGCTGACTGGCGTTAGGAAAGTACCTGGTTCGAATCCGAGCTGAGAACCGTTCGTGTTAAATGACACGTTTTTGCCAGCCGATCATTTGTCTCTTTCGTTATTCGTGTAACCTGGGCCATTGAACTTTTTAGTTTATATTTTTTCGAAGTGTTATCCAGGCTAACATGGCTTACACAGAGAACACGAACGCTTCAACCCTGATTGCAATCTTCATACATTCTTGCTACACGATCTGTCCATCGCTTCCTAGCGCCGTTGCTCCTAGGGATTATTCCTCCGAGCACAACACCTAGTCGGGGCCGTGTCTTGCATGTTAAATAGAAGCCGTTTGTTATCATCAAAGCTACATTCAAATTCTGTGGCAGCAAAAAACAGATTCCCCAACGTAATTCTATTTGGTGGCAGTCGACTGATGCTTGTGTGCGAGTCAAGGCGCCAGTCCACGCGAGGACGAGCAGATCAGGTTCCTCGCTGCGTCTGTCACGAGTTGCAAAGCGGCACTTTGTTTATACCCGGCATTAAAATTATGATTTGAACCATTTGATTTGGGTTCGATTCCCGGCGGTGCCCGAATTTATAACTTGTGTTGGGCAAGGCCGTGGTCTAGGCAACACGGAGTTTTCCTCCGTGGCATCCCAACAATTACTCCATTCACACACAGAAGAAGGCAATGGCAAACCACTTCTGGATCATCTGCCAAGAACGTATATGAACAGGTCCCAGTCCGAGAAAAGGATGGAAGGATCCTGTTCATATGGACCTGTCGTCAGACAGAACACTAAATAAATAATAAATAAGTGGGATTTGATATTCTCACGGCATTGAATACGAAGATGGCTGTCTTCTGAGTCGTAGCGCCGTGTAGTCTGGTAGAAGTTTACCGAAGTTTCGGAGGTCCTTGCTGCCTCCATCACCAAGGACCTCTTAAACGTCGGCATGACGCAACAACACAGAAGACAGACATATTCGATGCCCACACATTATATACATGTTTTTTTTGGGACACGCTGTATTGTCTGTTCCTCGTTAGAAATAATTTCTGTGATTCCGAGCGCTTGTCAAGAAGGTGTTCAGACAAAGACTTAAGTCCGCGTGCCCACGCTAAACTCGACGTATTTCCGTCTCCGTGTTTACACGTGAGTGGCGCCCATCGAGATGCAACAGCCAGAAAGACTTACGAGCTTGACAAGCATGTCCCATGCAACATGAATAATTGAATCACTGTTATTTTTATGAAGATTCTCGGTGATGCGAGCCTGTACACCCACGTTCTCACCTACGCTCCGTCTCCTCGCCAAAAGGAAACTTAAGTTGATAACATTCTTTTGGCCGAGTTATGTAAGATGTCACTTTATTGACGAAAAACACAAATATAATAAAATAACACTGAGGATGTTTTTCTGGGTGTAACTGTGGAGAACGTTAAGGCGTGTCGCCAGAATGCAGGTCCGTGATGCCCAATAAAAGATGTCCGAAGGCCTTTGCCCATACCGGGGAACGAATTCAGTTCGTTCAGACAATAAACTGACAGAGTTACCCCCGCTCATATAAGTGAAGTTGTGTCGAGCTGCAAGCCAGTGTCGTCAGTTCCGAATCTGCAGTGGTTCTGTGCAAACAGACAAATGGGTATCGACCCTTTGTTTTCATGAGGATGTGAGGACCTCCGCCCTTTTGGAGAAACAGCGTCCTATGTGACAGACTACATTACGTAGCCGCTCGAAATTTGTTAAAATATTCGCTATGGCTTCGGTTCAACTTTTAAGAGCTTCCGTCTACACAAAGGGCTTGAATCGATTAAATTTTATATAGAAATAAGTAAGTTGTCGGTCTACAATTAATAGACCTTGTAGTGTGCTTGACGGTTTGAGTAAATTTTACTTAAAGTTTATATTTTATCTTCCACAAGCATTTTTGGCTACTTGGTTGATCATTTGCTGTTGTTAAAAGGATTTGAAGCCTTATATGATAATATTTGACTGACTGAACTACCGGGGTTCGATCCCCGATGGGTGGGCAGAGGATTTTTCCTCTAGCCTCTGCGTCCAGACCGGCTCTGGGGCCCACACAACCTCATGTCCAATGGGCATCGGGATCCTTTCCCGGGGGTTAAGCGCGGCTGGGACGTGATGCTGACCACTCACCCCTCACCTGGTGCCGAGGTCAAGAACGGAGGAGCTATAAGACGTTTCCGTCCAAGCTCCTACATGGTTTAAGGTTTACATGCGTCATGTTTGTGTTTTATGATTAAAATATATAATAAAATTCAGGTCAATACACAAACTTTATTTAGATGTTAAAATTTAAAATTTAAATTTGCGCCATTCATCGCTATAACGATGTTACAATAGAGCGCCTTCATTCACTTCACTACATGTTTCGATGCAAAGCATCATCTTCAGGTGTTATCTTTTAAAACTACTTTATATTATAATGCTCGAACAGACAGTCAACCTGAGCAGACGTAGATACACCATACAACACGATTTATGAATAATCAAAACAAATATAAGATGCGAAAAACGGGAGGATCAGCGGAACACATGTTACAATAATGAATATATTGAAAGGCATGCATTGTAATATAAAGTAGTTTTAAAAGATAACACCTGAAGATGATGCTTTGCATCGAAATATGTAGTGAAGTGAATGAAGGCGCTCTATTGTAACATCGTTATAGCGATGAATGGCGCAAATTTAAATTTTAAATTTTAACATTTAAATTTTATATTTTAACATCTAAATAAAGTTTGTGTATTGACCTGAATTTTATTATATATTTTAATTAACTCCTACATGGTATATAGTGGAAGGACAGCTTGATTTTAGCTTTATGTGATAATATTTACGAATTAGTGAGAAAAATGTTTTAAAAATAACTTTTGTAATTAGTACTTTCGATTTTCCCCTCGTTCTTGATGGGCATATTTTTTTTTAGTTCTGTGTAAATTCGTGAAGTGTGAGGGCGTTAGCGCCTCGTCGGGATGCTTTGTTTGATGCTTCATTTTTTTTTTTTGCGAAGTTCCGTCCTTCAGGACAAGATAAGATTGTTGTAAGGCGATGTCTTGGTGTGGGAGGAGAATAATGAACGACTTGTTGAAGACGCGACACCGAAATTAATTAATCTCTCCTGTCAGCGTCGCGTTCTAAAGAATTTCGGATGGCGTATGGCATCGTACGGGCAGATCTGGCCAATATCTCGCTGTATATTTTATTAATGACTTCCGCAGAGATACTCCTCAGATTTCATAACTGCAGTTCGCGGAATTTTTTAGTGGGGAAAGAAAATGTCTCTGTCACTGTCTTCATCGTCGGTCCAGGATGTGTCGTAAGGTTCAACGCCGCTGATACCGTCTGGGTAAGAAGGTCCCGAGGCAGTTCAGTCCACTCTCAGTGTCCCTGATTCACCTTCGCCTTTGCCAGAACGTCTCGCTGTTTGCGTCGAACATGCGAACCATGGTTTGACCAAGACGAATAACAAAAGAATAATCAGTTCTGACAACAAATTCTGAAACACACGTATCTGCAAAAGAATTATTGCCATTCGTGATATTTTCACTTTTTTCTTATGAACTCCATTGAATCTTTGACGACACGTGCCTCCACTTTCCACGCGGATCTTAGTAAGAATCCATTTTGTAAAGAAGATTCTTCTTTGTTGCTTGCCTGTCACTAACGACTAAGTTGTGGCTGGGGATAATGTGGAATTTTTCATTGTGTCGGGAATATTGTGGGCGATAATATCGACCGAGCAGTGTAGTCTCGGGTGAACATACCGCATTGTGATCTTGCTCTTTTTCTAATTTTTTGTGTGTCAGTTCGGCTCGTGTGTGGCCTAAATGTATTGCTACCACGTATGACAGAGTAACGTGCTTCTGATACGACTCCAAGATAAAGTGTTTTTCTTCAGAAGTTGGTAGTCCCTCAATTTGTCACCAAATCTCTGCTCTTACGGGAGTCGAAGATCCATGATCGCTATCAGAAAGCCTGTGATCGGACTTCGCCCTGTCGAGTACTTGAATCCCAAGTCCACATTTCCATTCCATACTTATCTAAGATCTATTTTAATATTATACTCCCATTTACTCCTAGATATTCAATTGGTCTCTTTTATTGAGGTTTTCCAACCAAATTTTCATGTTTAATTCCCATCTGTAGTCAGCCTTAAGAACCTCAAATCTCACAGAAAGACTACTCATTTATTCTGAATCTCATAAATACACTGTATGGAAAAAAATGACAGCTTAACTGGCCACTAAAACACATGGTTATCATAATTACCACTGCATTATGAAGATTTAATACTAATACAGAATAGGAAGGATGCAGTTTGTCCTGAATCTCAGAAATTTACTCTTTGGAAAAATGCGTGCGTAATTGAACGCTGAAGCAGGTGGTACACATAGTTACCACCTTATAATTAAGGGTCATCACTAAGTCTACGGCGTGCTGTTTGTTACGCACCTACACTAATATAAGGTGTGAAGTGGGACTCACGCTTACCGAGTCCCAGGGTCCACTTTACGTCTCCAGAAGCCGCTGGCACGTCCGCGGACGAGGCCACCACGGAGGCCGGCACCCTGCGGTCCCGCGTGTACAACACCAGCTCGCCGTCGTCAGGAAGGTAGTCGCTGTCCTCTAGGTCGCCTCCAACAGCGGCAGCTGAGACAAAACAAGACATATGTGCCCTGCAGAATCCCATATATACGGATTTAAATGCGTCCCTTCGCGCAAATCGCGTTAAAACTGCCAGTACACAGGGTCAATTTTTGTTTTCTGTCCCCTCAAATGGGAGTCGGACGCTCCTCCGGTCAAGTCCGGCGAAAGTTCACTTAACGGTTGCGCTGTCTATAAAAACACACTCACTAGACCAAAATTTCGATTACATTTATTTGGAACCACACTGAAAGTTAGTGAACAAATACAATTTTTATTCATATCTAATCCAACGTACGATTTCCGCTTTCGAGAACGGTTGCGTCGAATGTTGATAATTATACGACGTTTCGGCAAACAATGCATTTGCCATCTTCAGGGTTCAAATGTAATGTCTGACAGACAGTAGGTTGAGAGTTGAGCCTGATGCGACGTGTTAATCTCATTGAAATCAGAATTCGCTGTGTAATTATAGCCTTATGATATCGATATCAATGTTAGGTTTACCATTTGGCTTCGCTCGCTACAGGAGATAATTAATTTCCACGAATGGCCCCCCGATCGTGTAGTCTACCCCCATAACAATCGCTGGCTATTTTATACCAAACGAGTCCTTCGCAGGTGATGCGTTATCAATCACTCGTTAACATAAGAGTCATTACGATTGGTCCATCTGTCGCCTTCTTGACATTAAAAGCCGTGGCCTATTATCCTGTGGACATCTGCCGACCTCAATTGTTTCAAGCACAAGAACCGATCGAGGTCTGTGGCCCCGTAAGAACTGATTTTAATCTGAGGATGCAGACTTTCTGGTTGTTAAATGTGGTATATATAGTTACCACTGGGATTTAATTAAATTCTCATGCCCTCCGTCTCCTGGGATGAGAAGAAAAATTGAATTAAGTTGATTTCTGTTGCTGTGTCGTAATCAGACACGAACCAATCTGTGACAGCTGGCAGAGTAATTAGTGTTCTGTCATGTCGTTTGTTTGTTTGTTTGTCAGGGCCTACCTGTGTCTGTACAACACTCAAACGCCCGCTTAATTACACTCACAGCGGAATCTTACGGATTATTTCGAGTATTTGATTTATGAAGGACGGGAGATACGAGGCACAGGGATGAAAATTTTTCTATTTGCGCTCCACGAAACTCGTTCACTCGGTTTCAGGGCAGAAGCTACGCGTTGAGGCAGAAATGTAGACCCGGAATGAAGTCACATGTCGCACGGATCTGTTGTAAGTTTCGTCAAACAAAGAAATATCAGGTGAGCAGAACATGAAGCACGCATGGACGAGACAAGAGAGCAGAAATATAATGTTAGGAATGTGGATTGGATTCATCTGGCAAAGGATAGATTTTTTTTTTTGAAAATGAATTTCAATCCAAACCTCAAGATCAGGTCTACATATAGCCCGGCCTGGGGGGTCTCATTAATACTTACTCCATGGAGAACAGTCCTTGAGAATCTAATAGTCGCTCAGCTAGTCAATAAATTCGCCGTATTTACAGGAGCCCTCCACCGGCCCCTTTCCCTAGCCAGCTTAATACAGTCCAAACCCCCAAACACGATTTAAATAAGATCTTTTTTAATATTATCCTCCCATCTACGCCTAGGTTTTCCTGGTGGTCTCCTCCCTTCAGACGTCCCAACCAAAGTTCTCATTTATTTGTATTCCATTGTAAAAGGAAAGAGTCTCGTGTCTATTTAACGACGTTGCTTCAGCTACAAACATTGTATCGGCCTGATGTCAGATTATATGGCAAGGTGATAACTAAATAGGGAGGAATCTAGAAAAATTCAGTCATGGTTATTGAAGTTATTGTTCTGAAATTCGCCTTGACTACTGAGGAAAACCAAGAAAAACTTCATAATAGCCGATAACTTGTTGGACTCCCCAGTAAGCGTCCGTTTTTTTGTTTAATTAATTCGCTAACAGGTTGCGTTATATCTGCGAATTAGACAGACAGACAGACAGACAAGGGGTGCTTACATTTTGAGGGTTAAACGTTGCATGTCACCCCACCGCCCCCGATGAAACGTCTCTGATAACTACAATTTGGGTGGAGCTCCCGAAATATTGTTTCTGTGACCACGTGGCCGTAACTGGGTGGAAGATTAATTCTGTGGCAGTTCGAACGCATTGCGTGTTTCAGATGACACTAAAAGCAGCTCCCCATAGCCTATACGTTACATTCATCGTCCTGATAATGGCACCTTTGAAACTTCTGTCAATTCATACGATACTACACGGTGCAACACCCCTGAAGACTATCTTTTTTGTCTGTATCTTAGAATCTGGCCGTTCAAGTAACTTCTGCAGTGACTGTAGTGTCGTTAAATAATCTATTATTAATCAAACCGATAATACAGGGAACTGTATTACCTGTCATGTGTAATTATGTGTTTCATTCCTCATGAGGCTTTTAGAAATGGACTGCATGGGTGGATGGATGGATTTTGCTTGAGTAATTACTTTGGGTTGTGTTTTAATTTAAAATGCGCTTTACTCTAATAAGACGGAGAGGCGTGACCACCACTTGCCCCCCTCCCCTCAAATCCCTCTCCCCTCTCCCAACATCCCCCGTAATTTATACGCAGATATCTGAAGCTTTTTTAGCCTATGGTCGGGTCATTTGACCCCCCCTGCAAACATCCGACAATATATCGATAAATAGAAGTGAAATTTAATATCGAGAAATAAAAGCATTCACAGAATAAACTGGACTATTTAATAGAGCGATCGATTAATTACTATAATCGATTTTGTCGTGTTCTATGGAATATTTGCCCGCTAGTTTTCGAGTCTCTTAAGCGAGGAAAATAGATCTGTACAACCACAAGGTACAATTTGTGTTGTTTGTAAATTTGTTTGTCTTGAACAAACGTTGTCATAGTAACCATGGTTACACGAAAATTATAACGAATTGAGAGCATCGCGCAAGAAGGGCTTATCGACATAATTGGAGTTATTTTGTACGAGGCTCGTCCACAAAGTAAGTTTCCCTGGGGCCGTTTACAGAAACAAAACACAATTTCATGGGAATATTTATTGCAACAGATACAGCAAGTGTCCAGCTATTTTTCAACATATTCGCCACCGGAATTGAGACATTTGTCATACCGTGGGACCA